TCCCAATCATCATCATCATCGTCATCATCAGCATCATCATGATCATCATCATCATCATCAACATCATCATCATCATGATCATCATCATCAACATCATCATCATCATCATCATCATCATCATCATCATCATCATCATCATCATCATCATCATCATCATCATTATCATCATCATCACGGCTCTCCCGAGCTTGGGGACACGAGGTGTCACCCGTGAAGACTTCTCGCGCCCCCTCGAACAGTCGCCAAGCAGAATGATTAGCTGGAACGTTGGCGGGACTTGCTGCAGGCAGCTGGATAAGCTTCCAAGAGACTCCCATATCGAAAGATTCGTCAAGGCATTTACGGTTGACTCCTGGACCTGCACCGGCTGATCCCGCGCTGCGGATCGATGGCTGACCCCCTGGTTGATCCGCTGCTTGCTGCTACACTTCTCTGATCAAGGCAACTCGTCTGGGCATCGTTTCTGGATGGACTGGTGGGGATGCTTTTTTTGGTCAGCGGCCACAAGACAAGGGTCAGGCGGCAAAGGCAACGTCCGGGCCACGAACGAGGCTAATTGGCTAGGACAGGCGCGCCGGCCAGCCCACTCAGATGGCAGCTGCAGGCTGGGTGAAGCTGAACTGACTGGCGCACTGCAAGCTCGGGCACGTGCTCTGGACAAAATGACCAGAATTCAAGCGGCCAAGGCAAAACCCGCACAGAGCCCGCGGACCACGGTGGGCACTGGTGGGGATGCGCGAAGCGTCAGGAATTTGAAAGAGGCCTTGTGCTCCAGGCGCAGCCTACGTGTCCAGGGCCAGCGGGTCCGCAGGAGAAGGAGACACACGGGAAGCAGATGTCCAGCACAAATGAAGGGGCCTTGGGACACACAAATAAATAGACACAAATAACAGGATTTCCTATATTTCCCTGTATTTTCTGGGTTTTTGTCTTCCCCCCCCCACTTCCCATATGTTCCCATAGTTTCTCGGGAATCCACGATTAATTGTGTCTGCGTGTGTTTTTCCCTCCTGGACATCGCAGTGCCCCCTGTCTGTGTACCTTCCATAGGTTGCGCCATAGTCTGCGCCATCGGTGGCGCCGAACACCCCACAGGCTACCAAATCGGCCGACGCATCACTGTGTGCGCACCATAGAGATGTCTAAAAAAACCCTTGCATAATTCGCTCGTGGGGTGAATGTAGTTCTCACCTCGGCGCCGCGCACACTCGTCTCAGAGGCTCCCGCGACTTCAGAATGTGGCTCTCGCCTTCGCGCCGCACACTAAAGATACGCGGATGGAAGACGGCTCCTCTTCACAAGGGGGCTCTTGCTTGTTACTCCTTCGAAACCGGTGAGTGCACAACAACTTCACAAATGGAGGACAGCTCCTTTTCAAACGGATTTCTCGTCTGAGTCGCAAGCGCATCCCAGTCTTGCTATTGTCCTCTCCCTCCTCCTCCTCCTCCGCCATCTCCCCCTCATTACCCACATGGCACATGTCGATTATTTACGCGGCTTGCCTGCACATTAGGACAAACTGGTTGCATGCAACGTAAACAATGTGACTGGCCCGGGCAGCGATAAGAACGTGGACAATGCAGAAAGGAGCGTACTGGACCCACTGATTACCAAGGAAGAAGCCCAAGATGTGTGAATCGTCGCAAAGTGGTTTTGACTGAAAATACAGTCAGCACATAGACTTTTTTCACAGAGCAATTGTCGGTTCCATCGTCATCGCATGATAGCCGTTCAGCTCGTGCAAATGCGGCCAGTTGACGATGATGTGCAGCCTGAGTGACCAGAGGGATCTGACGAGCTTCAAGCAAGAAGCCGAGGCCCTCAAAGTGATACAGGCAGGAACGAGGAGAGCGAGAGGGGAGAGAACAGAGAGGGAACAGGGAGGAGAGGAGGCGGGAGAAGGCGACGAGGAGGAGAAGGAGCATGGACGAAGAGCTGCAGCTGCAGAGCACAAGGCAGCACAACACTCCCACCTGGCCCTCCGAGGCAGCCGAGCTGGCGGCCTCTCTCCAGACGACCCCCCGCAAGAAGCGCACGAGGGCGATATCCAGCCAGACCTCCTGGTCGCGACGCTGCATAGGTCGACTGGTCACAAGTGGGGGAGCTGCCAGGAAGCTGGGACCACACACGACTGAGCTGACATATGGAACATCTGGAGGCATCCGTGCTGGAGCGCTGGAAAAAACATCCAGCCGCATGTGCATCCAGTTCTCGCCCACGCCGGCCACATCATATACATCCCAGCTTTTTGGTAAGTTCCTGAACCCCCTTGCAGGAACCATCGATTCGACAATCTCTCGGGAGTGGCACCGAATCTTCGGAGACGGGCAAACGAGGGCTAAATCCGCCGATCCAGCGTGTGAGTTTCAAAGACCCTCAGATATAGCCTGAGCCTCAGTTCTTGAGCTTCAGCTCTGCTGGGGGGGGGGGGCCGGGGGGGCTCTGCCGGGGTAGGGGGGGGGTGTCCGAGTCAATTGTGGTGGCAAAATCACAGCTCCAGCTCACTCTGGGTCGGCCCCTCGCCCCGGAGAGCTCGAACGCGGGCTCATAAAAAACCCAGCGGCCGCCCAGGCGGCCCAAGAGGGCCCAGAGTGGCCGAAACATCGCTCCAAGACACTCAATATGTTCCCCAGACATCTCCAGAAGCCTCCAACGTACCCTCCCGACAAGACAGAAAATCTGTCCCGTTCCCTTGGGAAAACGTACATTATTTGCATTTTCGCTTCTTCAGCCTTCGCAATGTCCAACGCAACCCAAGAGACCCCCAAAACAGGCCCAGAGGCTCTCAAGAGGGCCCCAAGTCGGCCCAAGAAGGGCCCAAGGCCCAAGACGGCCCAGGAGGCCCCCAAGACAGGCGGTCCCCAGGACGGGCCCAAGAAGCGCCCAAGAGGGCTCCATGACGGCACCAGAAGGGCCCAAGACGGCCCAAGAGGCGCCCAGGAAGCACCGAAATGGCCCTAGGAGTCCCCAAGGAACCCCGAGAGGCTCCAAGTGGCCCTCAAGGCCCCCAAAAGGCGCCCAAAAGCGCCCCCGAAGGCTTAAACAATACCTCCCATATGCCCCCCAAGAATGCCAAAAAGCCCCCAAGAGGCTCAACAATCACCTCCACGACGCCCCCTTAGGAGGCCTCGAAGATGCGTCGTAGAAGCCCTTCAAGAAGCCCACCCAATGCCTCCAAGCTGTTTCCAAACCACTTACGTTTGAACAAGCGCGCTGGGGCGAAAGCGTCCTTCTGACAGCGGGATCGTCCCGGATCGGCGGCACCAGCCGGAGGCCTCTACAATAAAATGTCCGCTCGCGCCTGCGCACGGTCCGTACTTCCCCCTCTCAAGGAGGTCGGAAGCGAAACCGCGCGCGAGCGCATTCCACTCGCTTGGGGAAACGCGCGTTCGTGCCAGTGTCAAATAGCGCCACCATTGAACACCATGTTATGGGAGGGTGGGTGAAATTGAACGTGGCCCGCTGACCCGGTCGACCTGGCTAGCGTCACTCTAACTCCTGCTCCTCATCTTCCTCCTGTTCCTCCTGCTCCTCCTGCTCCTCCTCCTCCTCCTCCTCCTCCTCCTCCTCCTCCTCCTCCTCCTCCTCCTCCTCCTCCTCCTCCTCCTCCTCCTCCTCCTCCCCTACTTATGTTGTCGAGGAAGGTGAACTCCGCACTGTCCACAGGAGGTGGGTCTTTAACCTCTACGAAGATGCGGACGAAGTGCCCATGCTCCAGACCTCGGGAGGGACGCGTGGCCCAGTTGGCCCCTAAAAACGTGAGACGCAACCAGGACGAGAAGAAGGAGGATGAGGATGGGGAGGACGAAAAGGGGAAAATGTGAGCGAACGGCAGCAGCGAGCGTGCCCCTGGGCCCCAAACGGAGCTCTGAGTCTCACATAGGGCGGCGTGCCCTCAGGCCCTGCCTGCCACGCAAGACAAATCCAACCCGCAGTACTCGACAAGATTGAAAAGGAGGGGCGGAAGAGGAGAAGGAGGAGGAGGAGGAGGAGGAGGAAAAAAAAAAGGAGGCAGACGAGGACGACGATGAGGCGGGGGCAAGCGGCGGCAGCGTTTGTGCCCCCGGGCGCCAAGTTGAGCTCAGGGCATCACGTTGCGCGGCATCTCCCGATGGGCCTGCCAGCCACGCATCAAAAACCAGCACAACAAGAAACGCGGACGAGGAAGAGGAGGAGGAGGAGGAGGAGGAGGAGGAGGAGGAGGAGGAGGAGGAAGAGGAGAGGGAACTGTGGGGTAAGGGGCAGCTACACCAGCGCCAGGCGCTCTGAGCACCTGCGCGCGGCCTCCAGGCCCAGGAGAGGGAGGGGGGGCAGCAACCAGGCAAGGCAGGGGAGCAGACGAACAGGCAGCGGGGGGCGGGAGGCACAGCCCCGCCGTCAGGCGCACGTGCGCGCGCGGGGGCGGGCGGTGACGGTCAGGGGGGGGGGCATTGGCGGCGAGGGAGGGGGCGCCCAAGTGGCGCCCTCCTCCGGGTCGGGCCAACAACACGCCTGCGCCTGCAAGGCGGCGCGGCGTGGCGCCACAGTTCCGCGCCGATGGCCGCGGCCAGTCGCCTGCGCCGCCACCCACCATCAAAGCAGCCATGCTTCCGCGATTTACCATCGCGAGAATGCGGAGGACGACTGTCGTCCGGGGACGCGGTCGGACGCAGCAGGTGTAGACCAGCGGCTGGCAGGTGATGTTCTGCCGCGCCAGAAGGCCGCTACGCGCCGAGTAGTGCTCGACCTTACGCCCGCACACGGCGGCCGCGCAGTCTGGGCCGGCCGCCACGGCGTCGCGCGGGGCGATGCCCAGGAGGCCGCTGCCGAGGGCGCCAGTCTGCATGCCGGCTGGTCGGAGGCGCGCGCCAGGCACCCGGCCTAGGACCTCGAGCTCTGCGCCGGGGTTGCAGACTCTGGCCGCGGCGCGCACCTGGCGCGCAACCGCGCGGCGCCCCCACGTCACTTCCGCGCGGCAGCAGCAGCAGCAGCAGCAGCAGCAGCAGCAGCAGCAGCGGCAGCGGCAGCAGCAGCAGAGGGCGCGCGCCCGCTCCCTTTCGAGAACCGCTTGGCCGCAGAGGCCGCGTGGGACCGGGCCCAACGGCCCTGCGGCGCCGACGCGAAGGCGCAGAGCCTCGGAGAAGCCGGGGCAGTCCATCACGGGGCCCTTGTGCTTCGAGAGGTTCCAGAACCAGGAACGGTCGCAGTCGGGGCGCTCGAGGTCGTCGAGCCGCCGCAGCGCTGCGTCGCACCCAGCGCCCGTGCGCCGCTCACGAAGGCAGCATCGCCGCTGCTCGTCAAGGTAGCGAAGTAGAGACCGCCGCAGGCGCAGCTGCCGCGCGCGCGGGGCGGAGTTGGGATGCTCGTCGTCCTCGCCCTCGCCGAGCGGATGCAGTTTGCGGCCGACGCCCGGGGGGCGGCCGCGGCGCTCCTGGGACGCGGCGGCGGGCGCCTCCGCGCGCCTGTTGAACAGGGCGGCCCACCGACCCTCGGCTTCCACGGCGGCCTCCGAGCGCGGCCGCGACGAGGCCGCTGGCTGCGGGCAGCAGACATAAGACAAGGCGGGCCGCGGCATCGCCCGCGCGCCCGTCGCCCATGACGACCCCTGCCTCGCCAAAGCCTCTCTCCGCGAGGCGCGCGGCCATCTCCCGCGCGCGAGGCCTCGGGCACGCGCGGCTGGCCACGAAGGCCGCGAGAGACACCTGCGAAGCGGTCCGCGCGCCAAGGCCTCCTGCGCCCACGCCGAGCGAGCACTCCTCCCAAGCCGCGTCGGGGTGGCCGCCGCCCGCGACGAGCTGCGCGACTTCGCGGAGGTCGTTGCCGAATTGCTGCAAGTCCGCGTTAAGCCGTAACTAGCTGGCAGGAGAGCTTCGACACGTCGGCACAGAGCCTCGTGAGCACCGGCTCCGTCGCGGAGCGCCCCACCTCTAGCCCGGCTAGTCGCGCGTCGCTGGCTTTGGCCAGCACGGCCTTGACCTGGTCGTCGAGAGCATCGGGGCTGCCGAAGACTGCTCGCAAATGCTCGGAGAGGTGGCCCCAGCAGCGGGCGGACCAGCGCAGGGGGCGCGAGCGGCAGCAAGCGTGAGGCCTGCCTGCACTGCGCCGAATCCGTCGCTTTCTTCGGCCCCGCGGTCCGTGGTGAAGGTCTCGCCGGAAGGGAGGAGCGTCTCAGACGGCTCTTGCTGGTGCCAGGAGGTCCAGGTCGCCATCTCAGGGAACTCGGCGGGGTCGATCGAAGACCGCATAGTGTCCCACTCCACGTTGCCGAACATGTTTACGAAGTCCACGGCCAACGCCCAGGATGGCACCCTGGGCGACCAGCTCCTCCACTATTCCGCGCAAGTGCACCACGCCCCACGAATGGGCGGCGCGGAAGCGGGCGCGGAGAGCAGGGAGGTGCCATTTGGTGTAGCGTTTAGCAAAGCTCGTGCGTATGACTTCGCCCATCTTGATGGGCCGTGCTTTGCCGTTGCGTTTCCTCTGCCACATGAGCGGCGCGCGGGTGATCCAGCGCATGGGCTCCTGCAGTTCGCCACCCCGCATGGCCGTGTGGAGCTGCCCCAGGCCCCGCCGAAGGGCACCTGCTTTGCGCTGCTGCGACACGGAGAATAGCTCGGTGAGGTGCTCCGCCCGTGCGCTTGAGGGATCAGGAGCGGTGAGCCTGTTCCATCGCACACGATCGAGGGGCCCGCCGTCGACCGAGGCGTCGTCGGGGTCGTTTTGCTGGGCGCCGTCATCGGCGCGGTCGGCAGGGGGACCAGACGCTGGCGCCCCGGGAGGCTGCTGCGGCCCGCTCAGCGCAGCGTCAGGCCGCCCTGTGCGCGAACGGAACTCCTCAGCGTGCGCCCTGTCTTCGGCGGCTGTAGTCGGTAGCGCGCTGGAGGTACTAAGAGATTACCGCTTTAATGTGAGCACCCTCCGCGGCGAGAGCCTAGATCGCCTCCCGCGGCGTTCGGGGTCGCCTCCCGCGGCGCACTGGGTCATCAGCCCCTCCTTTCCTTGCTCCTCCTCTTCCTCCTCCTCCTCCTCCTCCTCCTCCTCCTCCTCCTCCTCCTCCTCCTCCTCCATTTCCTCCATTTCCTCCTCCTCCTCATCCTCCTCCTCCTCCACTTCCACCTCCTTCTCCTCCTCCACCTCCTCCTCCTCCTCCTCCTCCTCCTCCTCCTCCTCCTCCACCTCTTCCTCCTCCTCCTCCTCCTCCTCCTCCTCATCATCATCATCATCATCAAGCAGCATCATCATCATCAGCAGCAGCATCATCATCACCATCACCATCACCATCACCATCACCATCACCATCATCATCATCATCATCATCATCATCATCATCATCATCATCATCATCATCATCATCATCATCATCATCATCATCATCATCATCATCATCATCATGGTCATCATCATCAGCATCATCATCAGCAGCAGCATCATCACCACCATCATCATCACCACCACCACCACAACCACCGTCATCATCATCATCATCATCATCATCATCAGCAGCATCATCATCATCACCATCACCATCATCACCATCACCATCAGCATTACAATCACCGACACCATCACCATCACCATCACAATCACCATCACCATCACCATCATCGCCATCATCCTCAACCTCATCAACATCATCATCGTCGTCATCATCATCATCATCATCATCATCACCACAACCATCATCATCAACCTCATCAGTACCATCAGCATCATCGTAATCATCATCAACATCGTCGTCATCGTCACAATTATCATTTCCATCGCATCATCAACATGACCATCATGCCATCATCATCATCAAGAGCGGAATCAGCATCATTAGCAGCATCGGCATCATCATAGTCATCCAATCACTGTCATCATCATCGTAATCAGCATCATCATCATCATCATCATCATCAGCATCATCATAATCATTATCATCATCATCATCATCATCATCATCATCATCCTCATCATCAGCATCATCATCATCGCCTTCGTCATCGTCATCGTCATCAACATAATCAATGTGTCCATCAAAATATCATAATCACCACGATCGTCATCATGATCATGATTTTCACCATGTTTATGATCATCATCATCATCATCATCATAATCATCATCAGCATCATAATCATCATCATCATCATCATCATCATCATCATCATCATCATTATCATCCTCACCCTTATCCTCATCATCCTCATCATCATCGTCATTGTCATCGTCATCGTCATCGTCACTACCATCATAATCACCATCATCATCATCAGCATCAGCATCGTCATCGTCATCGTCGCCACCATCATCATCATATCTTCGTCGGTATCATCAGAACCACCATCAGCATCATCATCACCATCGTCATCAGAACCATCCACACATCATCATCATCATCATCATCATCATCATCCTCATCATCATCATCATCACCATCATCACCATCATCATCATCATCATCAGCATCATCATCGTCGGCATCATCATCATCATCACTACCACCTCCACTACCACAATCACCAACACCACCACCACCACCGTCGCCATCATCAGTGCCACCGGCTTCACTCCCATCATCCGTGCTGTCTTCCCCTCCCCGCTGGCTCCTGGCTGCACTCGCCGCCGTGCATCGCGCTGAAGAGCTGAGACTGCTCAGAGCTCTCGCGCTCAGGACCGCCAGCGCTCAGGAGGCTCGCATCCAGGCTCGCCTGCGTCTTGCTGGAGGAGCGCTCTGGCCTCCCGCCAGGTGCAGCCTCGCGCTGGCCTGGCGGCGGACCGGGGGAGGAGGAGGGACGGGGAAGGGACGCGGGAGAAGGGACAGGAAGGGAAGGAGGGGGAGGAGGGCGGGGAGGGGGGCGTGGAGGAGGGGAAGGAAGGGAAGGAGGGGACGCAGGGGGGGGAGGGGGAAGAGGAGGGACGGGGGAGGGGGAGCGGAAGGCGGAGAAGAAGCACGGCGGGGTGCCGGCTCCCGCTGGCCTGGCGGCAGGGCGCGCGCGCGCGCCGACGGAGAGCGCTCCGCCACGCGAGCACCCCCAGGCGCACGAGCCTCTGAAGACGTGGGCGGGCAGCTGCATCGGCCGGCGCCGTCGGGGGGAGGGGGAGGAGCTCGAAGAGTGAAAGCGAATGGTCTCCTTCGGGTTGTGGGGCGATCCATGCTGTACGCGCCGTCTCGGCACGCAGGACCCCCAAAACGGCCCAAGATGCCCCAAACAAATCGCCCCAAGACGGCCCAAAGGGCGCCCGAGAGGGCCCCAAGAGGGAGGGGGAGGAGGAGGAGGAGGAAGCGGAGGGGGTCCCGGGGGAGACCCGGGGGGTGGTCCCGCCCTTTTACCGTGGATTTCCGTCTTGACGCGGGCTGGCTACAGCGAAACTACGCGACGTCGTCATCGAATTTTAATCGAAGTGGGAACCCCTTCCATTGGGGGGCCTCTGAGGCCCACGGACTGGAGACTCTCCTGGGTAGCCTCGTGGAACATCTTCCGCCACTCCTTGAACCTGACCCCAGCGTCGCCGTAGTCGGTCCAGCACACGCGCAGATCGTCGCAGCCGACGTCCTCCGCCTCGGCCGCAGCGGTTTCCACGGCAGTCGCCGCTGGGGGGCCGCCCAGCAGCCACTGCTCGAGGCGGGCGGCAGGCCCGCGGGCCGGCTCGGCACCCGCCAACTTGGCGTTGCGCCACTCCGTCGCCCTACCAGCCCGACAAGCTCCACCCGAACGGTCGATGACGATGCTGACGTCGCCGCGGACGCACAGACCTGGCACGGCGCCCGTGCCCAGCTGCACCTCGAGCTCCCGGGGGATGTGGAAGGTAAGGCTGACCATCCCCACGTAGATGGGGTGAAGCTTCTCTGCTTGCGCACCGCCGGCACCCGCATTTGCGATGGGAGCCCGTTCCCTTGCCACCCTTCGCCTTTCCCTTGGAAGTTGCCTTTCCCGCCTCCCTTGTTTGGGGCGATGTCCAACTTACTGCTCAATTTGGCAAAGTGAATGGTGTGCCGCTGCCTCCAGCCAGGCCTGTAGCCCACGGACAGCTTACCCTTCTCGACGCGCCCGTGGACAGCAACGACATCGCCCACCCAGGCGCTGTCTTCTTCTGGGTCGGCCCACGCGGCTTTGGACTCGCACCCCCCTTTTTGATCATGTGTTTCATTCCAAAAACGAATGAAGAAAGAATGCGTTCCGAGAGGATTTTGTCAGGTTTGGCCTAGATGTTGTTTCACCTTCCTCGATCGAGCCGTTCGCGGATTATGTTTACAGCTTTACCCCGGTCCCGCGTAGGAAAGCAACACCCCAGAAATCTCACTTGGTGTAGCATCCTGAGGCTGGGGCCCGAAAGCGCCCCAATGTTTGTTCGACGCCGACTCCTTCACTTCCTCCACCCCCGCGAACGATTGCAGGCCGCTGGTGGCCAGGGTTTTGTCCTTGTCTGCCTTGTTATCGGCACTGCTGGGGTCCGAAACTTTCAGCGTCGCAACCTGCAGCTCCAAGGCCTTGAGCTGTTCCCTAATCTCTGCGTTCACAACGCAGTCAGACCGGGGGGGGGTCGTCATGCTGGCGTTTTGCTTCTCAAGGTCCGCGATGCGGGTCTCGAAGTTGTCACTATTCCCCTCCACCGCGCCCATCCCGGAGTCCATCATGTCACCCATTCTGGTGACCTTGTTCTCGAGGTCAGAAATGGCGCGCTGAAACGGGGCCGCCTCCTGCCAGAACATGGTCGCGATCTCCTGAGGGGTCGGCGCCTGTTGCTGGGCGCCTGCTGGGGTGTCAGGCGTGCCGATGTGGTGTTCCTCTGCCCCCTCAGCCCCGTCCATCTCACTCAATGGACCGCAGAACCTCTGCCGCACGTCCCGCTCCCCACCGAACGGAATACCTGGCTGGCGGATGTTTCGACGCGTCCTGGCAGGCGAAGCCATCCAGAAAGACAAGATTTGACAGACAGTCGAAAAGAAGAAATGGAATCTGCAATGGTGCAAATGAGAAGGTAGGAGTGAGCAAATTATCGGGCATGCGTGCAGAGAACCCCAGCTTGAGCCAAATGGCTACGGAGGGAACTCCAGTTTGCAGGGACCCCCAGCTTACAGGGACCCCCAGCTTGAGCCATCGGTGCCAGCCAAGTCCTTTAAACCAGTACACACAATGCAGAAACACTGAATGGTGCGACAGCTGCAGGCGGCGGCGGCGGCGGCACAGAGACGGCACGGGAACGTGCTAAACAACTGCAAAACCGGGAGACCAAAGGACGGATGGAAGGACAGGACAATGGGGAAGGAGGAGGATGGAGCACGAGAGACAGTAGCAAGAGAAGGTATACGAGCAAAAAACACGTGGCAGAACCAGACGGGCAGATCGGGCGGGTAGACTCTAAAGGGCGGGTCGGGAAGGCGGACCCAAGCGGCCAGGTTGAGCACGCGGGTTGCTGAAGCGTGCGTCCTCCATGAATCGCGGGGAAGTCCCGAACGATAGCGCGATTCCCAAAAACGTCGTCAAGGAATCCACAACCAGACCGTGATTCCTGAGAGACGAGGGCGCGGCGTCTGAAAACATGGCGAAAAAGTCCACGCGAGAGCGCGATTCGTGTAAAAAATGTGAGGACGTCCCGCGCGAAAGCGCGATTCGGGAATCGATTGTGAGGAAATATCAAGCGGGAGCCGTTGTTGTTGTCACTCGGGGGCCAGAGGGCCCAATTTGGTGACCCCTCGGTTTACAATATAAAACAAAACACAGTACGAGCCCCGAAAGATACACCTTAATTGAAAAAAACTACCATGTGCCCCAGAGGGCGGGTCAGCAACATGTATTTTCTGGCCATGGGAATTCAACAACAACAACAACAACAACAACAACAATAATAATAATAATAATAATAACAGCAACAGCAACAGCAACAGCAACAACAACAACAGCAGAAGCAGCAGCAGCAACAACAGCAACAGCAACAACAACAACAACAACAGCAACAACGACAACAACACCACCAACAACAACAACAAATAGCAGCAACAACAACGACAACAACAACAGCAACAACAGCAGCAACAGCAGCAACAGCAGCAACCACAACAATCATTCTAAGACTCTTCGCTCCTATCTGCTCACGTGCCAATCAATACGTATATCCGAAAACCTCGGTACCCGCCCTCGTCGTCTTGGATCGTACCCCCCCCCAGGGGTATATCTTCCTTACCTGCCACGTGCATTTAGTGCAGCCCCTAAAACAAGGGAAGAGAGGACGGGTGGAAGGGGGAGGGAGAAGAATGGAGCACGAGAGAAATTAGCAGGAGGGCGGCAAGGAGCAGAAAATAAGTGGTAGAACCAGAAGGGCAGATCGGGTGGGCAGACTCATAGCGACAAGGTCGGGAAGGCGCGGGCTGCTGTAGGTCCCGCATGAATCGCGAGGAAGTCTCGAGCGACAGCGCGATTCTCAAGTAAATCGTAAGAAATGCCAAAGCGAGATCGTGATTCCTGAGCGCCGAGGGCGCATCGTCTGAATAAATTATTAGGAAGTCCTGCGCGAGAGCGCGATGCGTACATACATTGTGAGGAGGTCCCGCGCGAGAGCGCGATTTGGGAATAAATTGTGAGGAAGTATTGCGACGACGTACCAGGCGGGAGTCGTTGTTGTTGTTGTAAACTGGGGGCCAAGGGCCCAATTTGAGCCCCCCGTTTTTCCCAGCGAAAAAATCGGTGCGAGCCCCAGGGGAAGCACTTCAATTGAAAAGAACACAATGGTCACCAGAGGGGGGCGATCAACAATAATTATTCTTCAGCAGTGAGAGTTCAACTACAAAAACAACAACAACAACAACAACAACAACAACAACAACAACAACAACAACAACAACAACAACAACAACAACAACAACGACAACGACAACAACATCAACAATCATTTTAAGATTCTTCGCTCTTACTGGCACGCGTGTCTTGCATTCCGTAAACCCCAACCCTCGATACCCGCCGACTTCGTCCTCGATTGCAACACCTTTCGGGGGGGGAATGTCTTCCTTGTCGGTCACTGACTGAAGTGCGCAGAACTCTCGAGCGAGAGCGCCGTTCCTGAGTTCAGGGGCCTCTCTGGCCAGGGGCTCTCGGAATCCCGATGGACAAATGTCGAACCGGAGCCCTTGTCGCCGTGTCTGGGCCTCCACCAACTTGCCTGAATTACGGAAAGAGTCTCAAGCGAGAGCACCGTTCCTGAGTTCGGGGGCCCTCTTGGCCAGGGGCTCTCGGAGTAAATCGTGAGGAAATATCGAACAGGAGCCCTTGTCGTCGTGGCTGGGCCTCCGCCAACTTAATTGAACTGCGACCGTTCCTGAGTTCGGGGGCCTCTCTGGCCAGGGTGTCTCGGGGTAAATTGTTAGAAAGTATCGAGCGGGAGCCGTTGTTGTCGTAGCTGGGACTCCAAGGGCCCACATTTAGGCTCAAGCCAACGCTCCAGCGGGAGCCTTGTTTTTAGCGAAAATGTAGCCGGCGTCGAGGCGAGAGCGCGCGGAACCGTTTCCGGTGATCAACCATAATTTTTCTTCAGAAATGAGTATTCAACAATAACAGCAGCAGCAGCAACAACAACAACAGCAACAACAACCACAACAACAACACCAACAACAACAACCACAACAACAGCAGCAGCAACAACGACAACGACAACGACAACAACAACAACAACAACAACAACAACAACAACAACAACAACAACAGTTACAGCAACAGCAACAACAGCAACAACAACAAGAACAACAAGAACACCAACCACAACAACAACAAAAGAGACAACCATATTTAGACTGATCACTCTTATCTGCTCGCGTGCCACTCCACATGTATATCCCGAACCCTCGATACCCGCCCCCTTCGTCCTCGACTGTACCCCCTTTGGGGATGTATGTCTCTCGTACCCGCAGCGTGTACTTCGCGCAGCCCCTGAGGTAGGGAAAGCCAAGACGGATGGAAAGACGGACCAGGGGGAGGGAGGAGGAGGAGGAGGAGGAGGAGGAGGAGGGAGCACGGGCCACGAGCAGAAAGCACGTGGCAGAACCAGACGGGCAGATCGGGCGGGTAGGCCCAACCAGGCGCGTCGGGAAGGAGGGCCCAGGCGGCCAAGTCGAGCAGGCAGGTTGCTCGAGCGTGCGCCCTGCATGAATCGCGAAGAAGTCTCGAGCGACAGCTCGATTCCCAGATCAATCGTGAGGAAGTCCACAACGAGAGCGTGACCCCTGCATGTCGACGGCGCGGCGTCTGAATACATTGCAAGGAAGCCCAATGCGAGAGCGTGATTCCTGAATAAATTGTGAGGAAGTCTCGCGCGAAAGCGCGATGTGGGAAAAAAATGTAGAAAATATAAAGCAGGAGCCGTTGTTGTTGTAGTTCGGGGGCCAGCATCGCAGTTTGACCCTAGTGACTCTCCCTGAAAAAAAGGTGCGAGCCCCAGGGGAAGCACTTCAATTGAAAAAACACAATGGTTACCGGAGGGGGAAAATCAACAATAATTCTTCAATAATGCGAGTTCCACAAAATAATGATAAAACTGTTCGCTCGTACCTGCGCGAGCGACACTCAAGATGTATATCCAAAACCCTCGATATCCGCCTTTTTCGTTTTCGATCGTACCCTTTACGGGTGTATCTTTCTTACATGCTAAACGTTTCGCGGGCACACCCCAAAACAAGGGAATGTCATCAGAATCACCAGCATCGTCGTCATCGTCATAAGCATCACCACCACCACCACCATCATCACCACCACCACCATTTGCACAATCAGAATCATGATCATGACGACCGTCAGAATCATCAGCACCATCAACATCACCAGCGCCATCAACAATATCATCATCACCCGCATCAGCATCATCAGATTCACCATCGTCATCCACAGTATCATCACCATCATACTCATCACCATCAGCATCATCATCAGCATCATCAGCAGCATCATCCCCCCTCCCCACGGCAAGGCGGCGGCCGCCGCCTGATCCGCCCGACGCGGCACTGGCGGCGCTGCCGACAGTGCGGCGCGGCGAAGGGCATTCGGCGGCGCCCTGCCCGGCCGCGCGCCCGCGGAAGGGGGGGGAACGGATGGGAGAACGAAGGGGGGGAGGAGGAAGGAGGAGGACGAGGAGGGGCAAGGGGAGGGGGAGGACGAGGAGGTGGAGGAGGAAGAGGAGGAGGAAGGGGAGGACGGGGGGAGACTAGAAATGCGGGGGCTGAAAGCTGCACGATTGAAACCAAGGCGGCAATAAGATGTAGATTGCGGAGCTTTCACTTTCCATACAATAAGTGAACACGCGTCGACGCTCGGCCCAAAAAGCGGAGACCCCTCCTGTTTGAGTCGAGATTGCGCGGGCGATCGACCAGCTCTGGCGGGCAAGAAAAACCAAAGGAAGAAGGGAACCATAACTGACCAACCACAGACACAATTCTAGACTCGGCAGGGAGACACAGCCGCTGTCTGACCTGATGGGCGCACCCGCGCAGAAGCGCAGGCTCACCCACTGCGATGGCAAGCTCGCTCGTGCTCTTGAGATCGGCATTGGAGGAGCTTGCGCGCGCAAGTGATGATGGTGCGAACAACCACGCACCGCATTACGCGACGTTGGTGACCTCGGTCCGCAGTCGCGACGTCTGGAAGCTTGTCCTGAGACCTAAGCGAAATAATGGCCCGAGGCCGCGTGAACGGAGAGGCGGAGGCGCAGTGCCTCGACCTGGTAGGTGGGAGAGAAGGCGATGGATGAAGACAGACCCTGAGGGACGCACACACTGTCTCAGCACAATCGCCTCGAGGTACCACCGCGGCCACGATCCGCGAGGGCCGCTCCGATCGCGACCACCGCGGGCAACCTCATCGCAGGGCGCGTTGGGCTCGGCGCTGCCCCTGGGCGAGGGCGGCTGCTGCAGCTCGTCGGCGCTAGCCGATCGGAGGGCCGCGCCGGCGCGCTGGCGCTCGACCCCTTCCCTGGCCCTGCGGGTCTTCTCTTTCTATTTGGGAAGGTCGACGGCGTCGCCCGACGCCGGCTCGCACTTGCCCACGTTCTTGACATTGCCCGCGCCGTCCATCACCGCGGCATGCCCTCGGGGGGGCGACGGGCGCCATGGCCCCCGCCCTTGTCCAGGACGGGCGCGGGGTCGACGCGCGAGGCAGCGTCGGTCTCCAGCCCGAACCGCGAGCCGCGCTGGCCTCGCCGCACTCAGCCTCGCAAGACGGCGACTGGGGCCGATCCTCTGGCAAGGGGCGGCGACGAGGCGGAGAGCCCAGCACGCGCTCGCCCGGAATCGGGGCGCCCTACACGCGGCGACAGCCCCGCTAGCCGCTCGCGGCCAGGCGGGCGGATCTTGGACGAGGGCGCGCCGGGCGATGCGGCCAACGGATCCCGACCGAATCCAAGCCGAGACCGCCAGGAACCCGCTGTCGTCAGCGCCCAGCAACGCCTGCATTCGTCTCGCCACTGGGGGCTCCACGAGCTCCAGATGCGGTAGAGCTTCGCCGTGAGCATCACGAGCGCGATGCACAGCGGGGCGCTCGCATACGCGGGCCTCGGACCATTCGCCCAACAGTGGATTCTCCGCGCTTCGAACGTGAACCCTGCGCGAAGCTCGGGATCCATCGCGCCAACGCTGAACAAGGTGAGACGGAGCACATGCTCTGGCACAAGATCCGCACGATGCCAATGGCGCACGAAGTTCACGATAACATCGTCGAACTCGGTCACGGCCGAGCGTCCTCCGACGGCGCCGTGGCCAGCACCTCTGGAGGAGGCGGCGCAGTTGGCGGGCTCGGTGCCATCGCGGGCGCCTCACTGGTAGCCATCAGCCGCAAGTTAGACACGGCTGCCGCGCGGCGCCTGCGCAGAGATGCCGGGCGCGACCAGGGATGGGAAAGCCCTTGAGCCTGAACGTGATTTTTACGAAACAGGCGACGTTGATACCACGCGCCTTGACTCGTTGGACGCGCGCTGCAACAGGCGCTCCACTTCGCGAACTCGGGGCCTGCCGGGCGGCGGCATCATCATCGGCAGCGCGCCAGAAAGACATAGCATCACAAGCGGCCCCGTTGGGCCGTCAACTCTTGCCCAGGTGCCCGGAGGGGGCGTCGGAGACCGAACCCGTGGAACAGCTCGGCCCGCAGTCGATGCAAACGCCACATCCTCCGGCGACGCCACTTCCTCCGTGGATAACCAAGAAGACGAGGGTGTGAAATGCGAGCGGCGAGGCGTCGGCGGACCCAGGGGCTCCGGAAGCGTTCTCCGAGGCACGGCGACACGCGCGCGCGGCAGCGGGCAGACGCCAGCGCGCGGCGGCGCGCGTCAGGAGCGCGCGCGCGGGTCCGGCGGCGCGCGAGCCACAGCCGGCAGCTCAGCGCGCACCGGCCGGGCGGCGCGAAAGCCTGCTGACGAAAAATGGCAGCGGCATCGTGAATGCTTATCCCTGGTCCTTTCTGCTACTTCGGCGTCCGCTATGTCCGCGCGCAAGCCCGCCTACGCTCACGTCACAGCGAATGCTCACCACTGCAGAGACTCCCGGCACCATGCTCTCCTCAACGGCCGCGATCCAACATGCCTCCCAGCCGCCACGTGCCACGCGACGACCTTCCGAAAAGAAGGGGATGGGGAAAGACCGATGCTTCCACGGAGGATGGAGCACCTGCAGTTCCTAGACGCATGATCATTTATGTCGAGAGATAATCAAATATGTTTGTATGTGTATATATGCACACATATATGTATATATGATTTGTCGGAGGTCGGCTGGCGCTCGTGTCCTGATATCACGGCGACCTGGCCAACCGCCGCGAGGGCGACAGCGCGCGGCGCACGCGCACGCTGACGAATACCACCGGCCACGTAGCGAAGGGCAGATCTATCCATACTGCCCATGTCAGTGCGCCCGCGATCACATCACGGGCATCTCCCCAGCTCAGTGCCCATAATTGGCCCGAGCCCAGGAGGTCGCGGAGCCGGAGCACACGCGGCAGTAAAGGGTTCTCTGCCAGAGACTCAGTCTAGTAGCTGCGACGGCCGTCACCGCCCATCGAGTCGCGGCAGAGCTCGATTTGCAGCGCGAGTGGCCGTTGACCATCTGGTTGGCGACGCGCCGCTTCAGGGCCACGAGGTCCTTCGAGAACTTCATGGAGCGCGGCGGCCTGAGCGAGGCCGCGATCTGTCGAACTGGTCGCGGCCATCAGTTCTCTTACGAAGGTGTTTGGTGCAACTGCTTTGAGCGACCCACACTGCCAGTCCAATATATGACGCGTTTGCTTGTCAAAGAACGCACGGCGAGCATCCGCGTCTCCGGTGCCCGTGCGCAGGAAGCGGTTTCTCGCAGGGCTCGCCCTGCGTCGGCGCCCTCCTTCCGCTCCTTTCGGAATGCTGCGTCGCTGTGCATTCGAGCTTGTGCGCGCAACGCATGGGTGGATAGTGGATGCGCAATGTTGTGGCCTGCGCCCATCTCACGAGTGCGTTGAGCTTCCGTATACGGCCGCAAATCGGCGGCGCTGCGCGGCCCTGGAATGCGACAACGCAGACGCGCAGATCGACTCGGGTGATGAGCGCGAACGCCAGAGCCACAAGCAGACACTGGTACAATGCGGCCAGGATCTCCGAAGCGAGCTCGGAGTTGAATTTGCCCACCAGCGCAGGGCTTCCCATTGGAATCAGCGCTTGAATGTTGCGCCGTGCGCGCGGGAAAATTACGCCGTTGTGCGCGGAAGATTAACGCGCCCCAGAACAAGCGAAAGGTCCTTCACCGACATCCAGCCCACCTTCACCAAAGTTTTCCTCAAGGCATTGATGTAACTTGGCATTCTCCTGAGGCGGTCCCATGACATGGGTGTCGTCAGCATGTTTGGTGGCCAGTAGGACGAGCTCGACGTTCCTGTGTTTGGCGATGAACTCGCTGTCATAATGTTGGGGTGGCTAGGTACACTTTATAAGTGATCTTGGTGAGTTGGATGGGCCAGCGTCTCGGGGCATCTTTGCACTCGGTGCCTGGTTTCTGCACGTGGAAAACCTCGAGTGCTGGGTCGAATTCCTTGCTCTCCTCTACTTTGCGCAGGACTGCAATGGCACCAGGGGAGAGCTCAAAAATGACTTCGCGCTCTTCCTCGCCCGTGGCCTCCCTGAGTTCCTTGTAGATGACGCCTTTCAGGGAAGCCTTCTTGACGCCCCTCGCGTCGATCGCCCATCCTCGGCAGGCCACCTCGGAGACCATGACGCGCCGGGAGAGACGTGAAAAGCGCCTGCGCGCGCGGCGATGAGATCGGCGCCGGCGCCCTTCAAGCCTCGGAGGGTCAGCCTCATGCAGGCGGCCCGAACCTTCCGAGAAAGGCATGATTCACTGCGTGCCCACGTCATCTCGACACCCAACCTGCAGGCGAGGATGCCGCGTGCCTCACGGCGCGGACGCCGCGAGAAGCAGTTGTGATCTGACCATCCCTGCAGTTCCTCAGGCACAGCGTCAGCGACGGCTGCGGCGCGCTCTCCTAACTCTTCGGGGGCGAGCAAGTCAGCGCCACGTTCGACCACGGCCTTATTGGTTCCTGCCACGTAGACCCAGAGGCGTGCACAGTGACCGTCGGGAAGAAGATGATCGAATATGACTGTGCGCACCTCGTCCGGGTCCAACATTTCCGCGCCGGCGTTCCCGGCACCATCGGTGTTGATAGCCTTTGCGGTCTCGAGAGGTGATGCACCAACAATGAACTTGTGGTGGTGCTGACACACCTCTGTGGGCAAGACTTGCGGTAATGGGCATGACGGAGCAGGTTGGGTCTCCGTCGCTAAGACTTCATTGCACCGGCCTTGCAGACGTGATGCGGCGGGTTTATGCGTGGATTTCTGCGCGGATTTTTGCCCGAAGCGGCGAACTAAAAACTAAATGAATTTCGCGTGGATTTGTGTGGACTCCATTCCAAGCCAAAAAAGACGCGCGAAACTCACCTCGAATTCCGAAGCGACATTCTCCAGGACACCCCAGGCCCACCCTATCGTTTTCCGAACGAAATCCGCTCTGCGATGTTGGCGCCATGAGAAATTTCCTCGAAGGC